TGATTTAGATAAATATTGCATATGCTGAGCATAAAAGGAGCTGGAAATCAACAAGTGTAAATGTTTCATGTTTCATATTTCATGAAACACAACATGTCTTCTTTAATTCCTTCCTATTCCCTATTACTGAAGTGCAAGTGACAGCCTTGTTATAGAGGAATAGCACTCTAAGAGAGAAACTGATATGTAAGACTCTTCCCTGATAGAGAAACACTGTCATGTGACTGACTGCCTTGTTAAAAACACAACTTGGCCCAACTTTTTTTTTTTCATGTCTGCGATCAGTTAGAAGGGAGGGATGGAATGGGAGGAGGTTCATGTGTTGCCCAGAGTTGGTCTTTAAAGAGAGGCTGCCATCCAAAAGACTGTTGATATGAGGGTAGGATAGGACTAAGCATATGTTCAGATGGTTATGTGCTATATTGGGCAACAGTGACAGACAGACAGGGCTGACACAATTTGAGGCTGCAAGTACCTGTCTGAAATGCATATCTATGGCATCTATGGTATAACATGAGCAGGTGGAGAGTGCATACTAACATCAGATCTCAGCTCAGATCTGATTACTTTTTGCCATAGGTTGCATACGAAGCAATTTTCAAATATATTGCTGACATAGAAGGAACCCTGAAGATACATTGCCCTAGTGTACTCAATTGCTGGGTCCTAAGTCCTGACAATCAGTACATAGGGTTCATCTTGGCACCAAGACATATATAAAGTGCCACAAATCATACTCTACATGTTGGGATCTTTTCCACTAATGCAGGTCACACACGTATCGAACCTATTAATTGTTCAAACCAACTGTTCCAAAATGTTGATCAAATTTTGCAAACAGTCATTTGTTACCACTATTTTAATTAATTTGAACTGTTTAATGGCATCAAAGATGAAACTTAATGAATGGGTTAGAACAGGGCTCAAAATTTCAAGTCCTAAGCTACTAGCCAGGCCAGAAAAGTTACTCGCCACCAGTTGCCCCACCAAAGATCAGGGTGTGACGCACAGTACAGAGGTCAGTACACAGTACAGAGGTCAGCGGTCAGTATGTAACGCAGTGCAGAGGTCACAAAGAAAGTACAGGGACTTACAGTTGTCTTGACCTCTTCTTCTCCTGGTGATGGTGGGGGAGCAGCGAGGTTGCCTGCACGTCCAGCCGGCTCCAGGTGCTCTCTCTCCCGCGCAGCAGAAGCCGGCCAACTGCGGTTCTGCAGTCTTCCTCTCCCACCAATGGCAGCTGAGGTGGGCGGAGGAAACTGCTGTGGCCACCGAGGAGCCCAATCGAAGAGGGCACAGACGATGGCAGTGGAGCTTCTTGTTCTCTTCTCCCCGCCACCGCAGTCTTAAAGAGGCCCCCCACCCAGTCCACATCTTTCGGACGTTATTAATCTGAGTTGCCCCACTCAGTATGCCCCTCGCTTGCTAACATATTGAGTGGGGCACTAAGATTAATAATGTGCTGGATTAGTTTGACCCAGAGGCGGACTGGGCCCGGGGGCAGGGTGGCAATTGCCCCCCAAAGCCTCTCTGATACCTTTGCAAACGCCCCCCACCGCCGCCATAAGCATTTAATCTCTCCCCTCTCGGTCGCTCTGCTGCTGCAGCGACCAAGAGGGAAGAGATGAAGTCCTTGCCGTGGCGAGGGGGGCCTCTTTAAGAATGCTCTGATCACACCGCTGAACGATCACCTCTTCTCCAGACCGCTCCAGCTTCAGCTCCAGGAAGCGGGCACTCAGAGAGGCAGCTACGATCACACCTGTCAGCGTTCACTCTCTCTGCTCCCGGCCGCTGCAGCTTCAGAGCGGCCAGAAGGAGAGAGAGGGAGCGATAACGGGTGTAATCAGAGCCACCTCTCTGAGTGGAGCTGAAGCGGCCGGGACGAAAGAGAGGGAGCGCAGAGAGCTAGCTCCGGCTCTGGATGGAACACTACCGCCGCGGCAAGCGTTTGCTTCTGTTCTCTCTTCTCCTTCTCGGGCTCGGCCGCTCTGTAGCTGCAGCAGGCGAGAAAGAGAAGAGAAAACAGAAGCAAGCGATCGGTTGCTGCGGCGGTAGTGTCCCATCCCTAGTCCCGCCGGCGAGGCACCATTGCTGACATTCCACACTCGCCCCCCGCAATTTTCACTCACCAATTGCGAGGGGGCGAGTGGAAATTTTGAGGCCTGGGTTAGAATATTCAGTTTGTTTCAGAAAATAGGTGCTCAAAAATTGTTTGTCTTAGGATCATTTTGATTGATTTAAACTCAAAGGAAGCGTTATAGGTGTCTCTCCAGTTGATCAAAGCACAGAATTACCTCATCTCAGTGACAGTCAAGGACCCCTGAATGACTTTTGACATAAACTTGAACAGATCGATGCAGACTACCTTTCAATTGGTGTTGGATCAAGTGCTTGCTTTTGACATCTGATCAATTAAGTAATCAGATGGAACGGGAATAATCAAGTGGATGGAAAAAAATTATTATGGACAGACTAGGGCTGCAACAACTAATCGACATAATCGATTATAATCGATGATTGAAAAAGTTGTCAACTTTTTCAATCATCGATTAATCGGCTTCTGATTGGAAGGCCCTGTTTACGGCTCCACACACGCTGCGCACCGCACCTCTTCCCCACCTCACGTTCGCCGCTGCCAGACCCGCCCGCATCCACGCTCCTCACGGCGCACCTCCTCCCCGCCTCACACTCACCGCCGCCCACATCCACGCTCTTACTACACTCAATACAAACTAGTAGTCCATCACTGGAGCCATTTTTTAAATGTATTTTATTTTTTTAACCGATTAATCGAACTTAATAATCGGCTAACTAATCGATTTTGAAAATAATCGTTAGCTGCAGCTCTAGGACAGACACCATTCGTCTGTATCTGACTGCACATCTGAACTCATTCGAAATCTTGGCCAGAATTTCATGAATCTGCTAAAATGCTAGTTCAATAAAAATCCACCCACTTTATGCAATGCAGTGCTTACTTTTCTCTGCAATATCAAAACAGGTAAACCTCCCCCACACACAACATATGTCGCAGCTTTACGCAGTAGTGTACATCCTGACCCTGGGAACACCAGTTCATGTATAAAAACTGACATAGAGAAAAACAGGGGTATTTATAATGGGAACCTGGAAGATGCCTAGTGGTGGTGGATTGCATTAAAACAGTTAACTTATGTACACTAAAGCCATATATTGCAAACCAGAGATGGGCCCTAGGCACGAACTCACATAGGGGCTCATTTATAAATCTTCCTCCCAGCATGTAGCTGGGGCGAAGGCCGTTCACATGGCCTTACTGCTCCTAGAATTTTCTATGCTCCTCAGCTTAGGAAAATCAGCCTCTGGTCTTGCACTATTATCTATATATGAAGATAATATATTACTAGACTAGGTAGCTTAGCCAAATAGGAATGTATTTAATAGAAAGTAGTTTCAGCTTTGGTTAGCCAAATATGTGCATTGATCAGTCTGTCTGGGATTCCTAGGTAAGATGATGGGTGTCTCTGACATAGAGATTGAGACAATGAGGTGCTCCTAAAAACATAGAACATAAAAACACCTTTATACAGATAACACAATTCTATAGTACCCATTCCCCGATGAGGCCAAGTCTTTGCATTGTGTCGAGCTGGTGCTGCTTAGAGAAATTAGGAATCATAAACCATGTTCTGTTGACCAATAATGTTTTGGCGGAAATGCTGCATCCAGTATTCTGCATACCTCTAGTACCCCTCAGATTCTTAAATAAATCAGACTTTTTTTTATCAATAACTGATGCTTTTTCCTTTTATTTAAAAAAATTTCCGAATGCTTTCATGCATGGTCATGAATTTCTTACAGACCCATGAAGAAGTGCATGATTACATACGAATGTGGTAGCAGACATGTTTGAAACAAAAAATAGATGACTTTGCAAAGCTTTTGTTAATACAATTCATTTTGTTATATTGAAGAATGCAAGAATTCTTAGAGTTGTGGACATTATTGTATGTAACATCATACAGACAATCAGACCACAAATTGAACAGCTAGGTTAAGCCGAATACTGCTAAGCAAAGCAAAACGGTATTGATCACAGGTTGCCCTGTTACGATTGCTCAAGGATCATCGTGTTTTTTTTTTTACAGTATATTTATTTAATCTGTTTATATCTAATGATAATGCTGGCTATACTTGTTTTGACAGTGTTGCATCAATAGCTTGTTGTGTATGACTGATTTAAAGTAGATGTAAACCCTAACTAATTGAAAACAAGATTAAAATCATTGTGTATAACAAACATTTGCCATTTCTTGAAATAAAATATTTGTTTTCACCATTATTATCCTTTTGTTGCATATCAGTGATGATCATCTCCTGCAGCCTATTTGCAGCCAATCCTGTTACTTGGACTCCAGGAACTACTGCATGTCGTTTTTTAGGAAGGGCTTCTGATAGAACAACAGTAGACCATGCCTGTGCAATGTGTATCGGCAAGGCCACTTGTAGTCCCCATTGGGTGAGGGTGTGACAGGGTGAGAACATTTAGGAGACGGGGACTAAGCATTGCCCCAGAAAGTGTCTGCACAAGGACCTTCATAACAGGATCATCAGTTATAATTTAAACTTAAGCTGAAGATTTTAAAATGCTAAAACGCAATTTTGAAAGGACTTTAACATGTTCGAGATTTTAGTAATTGGGTTTACATATACTTTAACAGTAGGTCTACGCTAACCAGTTCTCAGCAGAAAACTTTTGCCATTTTTACTATGCACTTCTCACTGATTTCTTATTAATTTATTATGTATCTGGTTATGGGTTGCTGTTATTGAGGGCTCTTTTTTTATTTGGTGGCGGGCGCTGAGATAATGAACTGCATGCCATCTTTGTGTTATTATCTTTGTATTTGTTGACTGTTTTGAATAGTATTCTTGATAAACTTTAAATTATCTGTCAGTGATGCTTTTGCTTTTTAATGCTATCTTGTCTTGAGCCTGTTTTCAATGACATCTATTATCAGATTGAAATGGCGATTGAGACACTGCAAAAGTCTGACGGCCTTTCAAGTCACAGAAGTTCGCTTCTCAACAGCCATGTAAGTTTAGCTTTTGTTACTACCTCCCTTCCGCATGCTTGATTTCTGGCTAATTTTTTTTTTCATGTTTGTGCATTTCATTTCTCAAAAGCACAAGTTCCTTTGTCATGCAACTTTTCAAAATGAAAGTGTCAATATGTTATCTCATTTCAATTAGAATGAGTCAGTCATTCACACTAAAATGTCTTTAAATAATCACTTACATTATTTAATGAAATTACAAGTTATCTGGGACTTGTACTTTTGGATTGTCTTTCAAAAACACTGCAAGATACTGCTTGTTTTTTTTTTATTTTTTTATTTTATGTAGATCTGGCTATTAAAGTATTATTCTAATTTACCTATTCAAAAACAAACTTCATAAGACAATTGACATATGTTGTACATTATTGTGCTTTGTAATCTTACAAAATTGAAGTTGACTGTAAAAAGTAATTGAAAAGCTCTTTAGAGCAGTAGTGGTATCCATGTTATCTGTTTCCTGTAGTACGATATGACCCCACAACTGATTGCAGGAGACAGATCATTAAGGACCCGCATTTTGTGGAAACTGGCTTAGTTACTGAACTGCAAACAGTAGAAATGAAACTTTGGACTCAATGAGGTCTTGTTGGACTTGTAACTGAAAGCGGAAATTTCTATTAAACAAATTAAAACAGGGGCTCCGGAAGCTTTTAGCCATAATGTGTTTGTATGCACAGCTTATTAGCACATTATGGAAGACTTACCTGCGAACAGATGCTTCCATCTTTTTCCTGGTCTTCTGGGTTTCGACTCTTCAGCTGCTTGACTGGTCGGGCCCTGATGACGTGACTCCCTCTTGTGCATGCGCATGGGGGTTACTTCATCTCACCATGCTGGGGGTCTGTGCATTGTGCATTTATGGCAGAAGAGACTTACACAGTCTCTGTCATATAAAGCCTGCCAATCAGCAGTTTGTTGGGGTTTCTTTTAACTTACACTTTTATAAGCCATTGTGCAGCATGTCTTTCCCTCTTAAAATTGTATGTTTTATTTTCAGTATAAAGGTCCAGAAGAGATTAAGTCATAACATTTTCTGAAATTACTTTCCTTTCACTGCGGTGTTCATACTGGAGTTATTTTGTACGACTAGGCCTGGTAGCTTGTAGGTATATCCCTCTCAAAAGTGCTTTCTCTTCTCTTTACAGACTGATACATATCCAAAACATGACAAATGTCAAAAGTTAACTTTCTACTTTTTTACTTCTATGACAGTAAAGGAAAGTCTCTCCATTGGGGAAACAGACATCAATGAAAACTTTATTTACTATTAATTCCACTCGTCATTATTTTCTTGAATAAAGCTGCATCTCAAACACTTTGAAATAAACTTTAAAATTAAAAAAGGGAACTTTTATATTGCCACGGTTAGAATAAAACATTATTATGCTTATTTATAAGCAACCCTATATACAAACAAATATTAAAAGCATATTGGATCTGCATTGCCACAAGCCGTTTTTAGAATGTTGTGTCACCTTCTTGTAAATGCTTTTTATAGCAAGTCAAGATTCATTACTTACAAACCTGATATTTGTGGTTAGATATTTCTTAGAATCCAGTTCTATTCTCTAAAACAAGCAGTGTGATGCAATAGGGACCTTTCTCTTCCTTTGCTTGGGACAACCTAAGCACACGTGACTCTGCCCTGACACCAGGGAAACAGAGGTGAGTGTGGCAAGTCATGTTTTATAGCAAATGTGGTACCTAAAAGTCCCCCTTTTTTATTGGAAGTGTAATTTAAAGCAGAACTCTGGGGAAAATTATTCTTAACCCTTGCAGTGGGGCTACCCCTGCACTGTAAGGGTTAAGTGCTCGTTTTTGTCTAGGTTGAAAAATAACAAAGTTATACTCACCTGATCGTCTGAGTTGGCTTGCTCTTAGACTGGTAATTTCCTCCTTGCTCCTCCTCAGCTGCAGCGGTCTAAAGTCCAGTAAGTCATCATGTTCTATACACAGTGTATAGGACATGAGATCACAGGGAGATTCCATGGCTGCAGCAGAAGAGGAGACAGGTAGAAGAGACCAGTGTAAGAGCAAGCTGTCTCCAAGGATCGGGTAGATGTAACTGTATTTTTTAACCTAGGTAAAAACGATCACTTAAACCTTGCAGTGCAAGGGTTAAGAAAAAATTTCCCTGGAGTTCTGCTTTAAAAAAACCTGACAGCGTTTCTTATCCCTCCACATTCTAAACCCAAAGAAAACCATTTGGCTATAGTTTCACTTTAAATCCATTTACACATAACAAGCCTCATGCTACATCTTTAGTGCATGCCCACAAAATAAGGTGTAGGTCTCCGTTCCCTCCCAAAAACAACAAACTCATTCAAAACGATGAGTTGACCCGTGTTTTTGTAACATAGGTGTGAGTAAGATGTAAAGAGGGATTGAATGTAAAACCACTTGTTTCTCATAGGCATTACTCCTGGCATATTGTTACCTTCAAGAGAAAAAAATGTGTATACTGCAAGATTGTAATATAGGAAAAGCTTTATTGGTAGCTCTGGATATATGTTGCTTTGGTAAACAAGATATTCAATACGGTACTTTTGTACAATATATTACATGATCTAAATCATGATCCACAGCATGCAATGCAGATACCAGAGTGTGATAAACCAATAATATCACTTATAAGACAAATGGCATGCTCTGCTTCTCTCATTAAGTCCTATCGGGTCATATGGCATATAATAAAGTATTATCATTTAGCATGGATTACCAGGTTAAATTGGCCACTTATCCAAAAGACACGCTAAAGTAACAGAATAGATAACCTATAAAAAAAATAGTAATAAATGTAATGATTTTATTTTTATTGTGCAATGCTACTGCTTGTGATTCTTCCTCTGCCGTGTATGATGTTTAGGCATCCTTGTTCTTAGTAGGTCTTCTTTAACACAGGGTGCTGATATAATAGTTTTGATTAAAACAGAATTTGAACAAAAGCCAAACTCAAAATAGTCAAATCAGTGTGGGGGGTCTGCCTGCCTTAGTGACATGATCAGTCTCAATGTTATAATAAGAGAAATACTGCTGGAAAAAGAAGTTATGCATGAACTAGAAATATTATGTTTGGGACAATCTCACACTTAGGGGCTCATTTATAAAGCAGCAGTATGCTCCCTTATTTGCTTGCTTCAGGACTCTAAAGAAAATGAAGCTCCACTCATTTTAATAAATGAGGGAAAACAAGTAGTTCCATTCATTTTAATAAATGAGGGGAAAAAAGTGTTTTAGGAGGATGAGAGCTTGGTCACAGATTTTTTTTTTTTTTTTTTAATTCATGGAGGTGCTGAAATTGTATTTTTTTAATAACATTAAATAAAAAAATGCCTTGTCTAGCAATTATATAATGTTTTAAAAAAAATGGATAGAATTTACAGAAAACATAAATATCCCCAAACCATATTTATCCAACTTGTTAACTGATTTGGAGTAGGTAGTAGCACTAAATTGGTTTGTACAGATGCACTGAATAATCTTGTCCTTTCTACTTATAGCTCCCAAGGAAATTCCACCATTAGATAGAAAGCAAAGGGAAGAGATCACCATTGTGTAAAAACTTTTATTTTAAAAAAAATGTAAAAACCCAAATTCACTTACAGACGAAAGTGCTCTGAACCTACTGAAAAGGAATAAGACTCAATCCTCTCAGGAGCAATGCACCACTACCCTACTGCTGCCGTGCGTGAAGATGTCACATTGGTGAGCCCTTATCTGTCATACGCTACAGCAAGCTATTTATGTTGGATTTCGTGATTATCTACCATTTTGAAAGAAAATAAAGACTCTGTGTTTTCTTTCAAAACGGTAGATAATCACGAAATCCAACATAAATAGCTTGCTGTAGCATATGACAGATAAGGGCTCACCAATCCTTGAGTTGTCCCATACACTCACGGTGTCCCAATCTTTTAATAAGTCTCTCTTGCAGCACTGCTGCTCCAGCCTCAATCTTCAGGGCCACTGTCTGGTTCCTCCAGACAACCGCAATAACATGCCAATCCTCCCAATATGTTTCACGAACCTGCAGCTCCCTGCTGCACTGGCCTCCACGCTGACTCCTGGGTGGAGTTCTCCTGACTGAACTCCGGTGGGGCCCTGAACACATCCCAGCACACTCTTCATGAGGGATGTACACAGGTGCACAATTAGGTGCCGGTCACTACCAAAGCATGGACCCAGGACTGGAGATTTCCTCCCACCCAGAGCTCTAAGAAATCTCCTGGCTCCAGGATCCCAACTAGGATCCAGAAAACCTGGAAAGGACTGAAAAGGCACCAGTAATGTCTTCCTGGAGCCACTAAGCCCCTCTGGCTGAGAACCCTGGGTGACATTGAGGCCACCTATCACCGGGGTAATGCCATGCAATGCCACAATACACTCGCAGACATTCTGAACTTTGCTATTGCTTTCCATCCACATTGGTTTTTGACCAGATTCCACGCAAGGATCGAGATAGCCCACCGACCTTTGTGACGCCCTCCCACGAAAACGACGAGACCCCATGACCATACCATCAGAAGTGTCCCACCACCTCACCTCTCATCACATGTAAGTGTTCTATATCTCCTCCACCACCTCACATCTACACACCCTGACCCACCTACTGTCCTTGAATTTTCCCCATCCACACATTTGGCACCAGAGCTGCTACTCTCTCTAATTTGTTCAGTCTTAATAAAAAGTGCATAAAAACAAAATACACTTATAGACCATTCCAATTCAGTTGCTGGTAATAAAACAACGTAATTATACATCTATATTTTACTGTATTAAGCATATTTATCCCTAGATATGTCTGTTTCCATATTGGAGCCTCTCCCGTGTTTAAATACTTTTTTTTATACAATTTAAGACTCTTACTTAATATTTGGAACCTTAGGCAAAAATTGGTCAAAAATCCTATCTTTTAGAAGGATTGGGCAATGCTTTTTAATAGTATTTCTAAATGTTTTATATTGTATACTATAGTC